CCGGCGCGGCGGCCGCGGCATCTGCAGGTACAGAATGAGAATTAAAATCGCTCTCAACAATCCAATACACTTTTTATCAGCCATCTATCTGAGAGCCGGGCCCATTCATCATCCGAGGCATTCTCCCTGAAAACAAGACCCATTCAGATTTTATACAAATTATCATATTTATCATCGTCTCCAACTCCGGAGTAACATCTCCGCAAAGTGTCTGCGGTCTCCCCGGGGAGCCGCGCGGCTCGGAGCGCCCGAGCGCCCGCCCGGCAATTCCCCTGCCGAGCCTCCTCCCCTCACCTCTTCCCCCCAACCCCCGACGCCGGCCCGTCTCTGGCCTTTGATCCACTGTCTCCGCTTCCCCCCACCACTCTCTCTGTACTCCCCACTCCCTATCAATCTCTCTTCCGCTCATCCCTCTCCCACTCTCTTTTCCCTCTCATCTCTCTGGCGTTTGATCCACGGTCTCTCTGCTTTTCCTCCTCCCCCTTAACACTCTAACACTCATCTCTTCCCTTCCCTTCCCTTCCCTTCCCTTCTTTCTTCCGGAGCATGGCCTCCAGGTCATCCCTGCCTCCCTGGGGCTTTGCTTTCTCCCCACCCAGCATCCCCATTTCCTTGCCAGAACCAAGAAGCAAGAAGGGCCCTTTGTGATAGAACAACTTGAGCCTTCCCTCCTGGACTGAGGTGTTCCACAGTGGAAGTCCCCAGGTTGATTCCATGGTGAGTTAGGGCCCACATCCAGGAGTCTGAGGAAATGAAGCAGGGCCACACTAGAGATATGTTCATGCCCATCACACACTACAAACACACACACAACACATATGCCTAGCCTCACACATACTACAGAGTTTGCACCACACATACCATACACACACATACACACAGCTCTCACAGTACACACAGCCCCTTCTTCACACATCACACACATGCAGCCCTCAGTAGACCCCTACAGTGTCTTAAACATACTCATGTAGCCCATCTCTCTACACACATAGCTCCTCTTTATATCACAGAGCCCCCTAATACATACATAGCTACCTACCACACACATAGGCCCCAATACATACAGATGTACATAGGTACAGGAAGGCACACGCATTCCAAATACACAGGTGTGCAGATTCGCACTGTCCTCTCATGCCCTCTTACCTAGATCCTGCGCCCGCCTCATTTCTCTCACTCCCCTCTTTCTCTCTCAGCACATACATACACTTTAGGCAGGAACAGGTCAGGCACCACAACCTCTGGAACAACTTCTGGCTTAGGTGAGTGAGTTTGCCTATAACCAGCAAGATCTCAGCTGCCCTACCGAGCTATTAGAAGAGCCCCACTTGCTCTGCACTGACTCCCAGGGGTTAACGAGGTCTCCCCAGTTCAGGCCTACAGACACTGGGATATTTCAGAAGTGGAGTTTATTCAGATTCTAAGGAGAGAGACTTCACAAAAAGTCATAGCAAGAATGTTTAGAGCACAGTTTTCTGACCCAAAAAGCAACCTCTGGGTGACTGCTTCCTTTTGAGGCCCCTGCTGGCCTAACTGGTGGTATTCAGGCTCCAGTATTACACTGAAGTCCGTTCTGATCTAGCCAATCCTCAGTTTCCTCTCAAAAGTCTGCCTAATGGGTTGCTGTAGAAGAGCCTGTGGTTGTGTCTCTTGTGAACCATTGATTGGTTGATTCATTCATTCATTCATTCCTCAGTCATTAATTCAACAACCATAACTGAGTGCTTTCTCTGTGTCAGCTCTCTGCTTGACGTGAGAATTACAGTGGTGGGAAAGAGCTACCCAGTCTCTGCCACCATGGACACGGTCTAGAGCACTGCTGTCCAATAGAACTTCCTGTGATGGAGCAAATGTTCTATATCTTCACTGTTTAATATGATGGCTGGTAGCCGCGTGTCTCAACTAAACACTCAAAATGTAGCAAATGTGACTGAGGAAATGAATTTTAATTTTATTTATTTAAATTAAATTTCATCTGATTAGATTATTTAATTTAATTGTGGCTAATAGCTGCTGTATTGGCCAGCACAGGTCTCGCAGGCAGGTTAGTCTATTTCGTTCAGTGGGGCAGGATATACGTGAAGGAATTCCCTCCTTCCTTCCAGAGCTGTGGAAGCCTTGTGAATGCATGTGGGGGGCCTCTGAGCATGGTTCTTCTTCCTGTTTGGACCACCAGTTCCCTACATGCTGTAAAAACGAAATCCACCCACATGTGCATGGACCAAACAGTCTCCTTCTAAAAACTGTAGGTGAGTAATTCTCCATAAGAGTAACAATAGCATTCCTTGAGTATTTCTTGGCTATCAGACTCTATTTGCATATGCTATATCATAAATCTTACCTGGGATTTATAAACACACATAGATGCCTGTGAGGGCAGGAAGAGTTGGGAAGACAACAGGCAGGGCTTTCTGGGGCAACTAGAGATAGCAAGACCTCTCTGAAGTTTGTGATTGTCATGCATAAGTGGGGGCCAATGATGCCAAATTGTCTGATTTTTTAAGAACAGTCAAGAATCTTGGTTTTTATTTGAAATGCACTGGAAACTACTTAAACATTAAAAAAAAGAAAAAAAAAGAAAAGAAACCTAACCAGGCAGATGATCAAGTGACGATGTGCAAGGATAGTTACTGCAGCTTTGTTTGCAGATTAGAAGTAATCTAAATGTCCTCTAGTAGGAGCGGGTTAAATGACTTATGACACATCTATTCAACAGAATACTAGGCAGCCTTAATCAAGAATGAAGTGAATCTTCATACCTAGATATGGAAAGAGCTTCAAGGTGAATTAAGTGAAAAAAGGAAGGCA